ATAGAGAGGAGAGAGAGAGATATATATATATATATATCCCTATACATATTGTCTATATGATGTCATATATATATATATATATCTATATATATATATAATTATATAATATATATATTATATATATATATATATATATATATATATAGATATATATGTATATATATACATCTATATCTACAAACATATCTGTGCATACACACATATATAAATATGCATATACATATATAAATATGCATATATATATATATATATATATATATATATATATATATATATCCTTTCGTCGTTTGGGATATGCGGGGTGAAGTTTACTGTTACTCGACAGGTCGTGTTTTTACAGGCACCATCTTAAGTATAGGCTGCATCGTCGAGGCGAGTTTCGTCGAGGCCGCCGACGTATCTGTCTGCCTGCGTCGTCGACGTCTGCCTGCCTGCGCCGTCGACGTCTGCCTGCCTGCGTCGTCGACGTTTGCCTGCCTGCGTCGTCGACGTATATCTGCCTGCGTCGTCGACGTCTGTCTGCTGGTGTCGTCGACGTCTGTGTCCGAGCCACCAACGCTTGTCTGCCCGCGTCGACTCTTACCTGCTTGTCGACCTCTCTTAAACTGTGTCGCCTACATCCTGCTCTGAGCTCGTCGTCGTTTTTCAGCCTTTCTCTTCATTTACTGCCAGTGTGGCTTTTTGACGCTTCTTTGTGACGCGAGACGTCTCCTTCCGGCTCGGAAGGTCCGCAAGTTGAGCGCACTCAGGATGTCAACCACCCAAGCTAGACGGCTCGTTTTCGACGGCTCCAACTCAATGCTTTAGCTTGAACGTCACCTACGCTAACTCCGTCACACCTTTTCTGTAATCCCTGTTGTCCACCGCCGACTATGTGTGACATGTAGCCGTTACATTGAAGCACGAATTGTGAGCTGTACTCTACTGGTAGCCTGACCCTGTGACCTACCCTGTAACTGCGGTGTTGTGAATGACTATCACCCACTGCCGATTTTGCTGCGTGGTTCTCCCTGTGTCCTGAGCTTGAATTGCCTTCCAACGATTAAATTACCGTGCGGTTTGCCCTTTTTCCGCAGTGTCTTTAGTTCCAGCTGTTCTCCACCGATATCCGAACGCCATGACGTGAACTGTTAAAGTAGTGTCTTGGATGCTATCTGCAACCTACCTCCGTGACCCTCAACCTGCCCCCAAGGCCTGCAGCCTGTCCCGGTGACCCGTAACCTGACCCCGGGATTAGAAACGTGGCCCGTGATGCGCGGTCTGACCAATGCACTGCAACCTGACCCCATGATCTGCAGACTAAACGATATACTGTAACCTAATCCCGTGACGAGATTCTCATCTGTAACCTAATCCTGTGATCTCACGAGACAAACCTTTGTCGATTAGTACGTTGCCTTATAACCATCATTAATAGCATGCGGCAATAGACATTAAGCTACTACTCTGACGTAATAAGTACTTAGTACATCATGCTGTAAGCAAATGCAGGTAACGAGCACAGCGACGTCAATGGAATTTAAATATATCCGTAAGCACAACTATATCCACCGGTAGTTTCACTGTCGGAGGTGCTTTCGTCCGTAAAAAACATGTAAATTAACATCTCGCGCCAGTTGGTCAGCGAGTTGTGGTCATCAGCGGAGGACAGCTAGATCTCCTGACACGACGCTGGCGGGACAGGCCTGGTCAAAGCACCCGGCCCGGACAGATAGAATTTCAGATGCGGCTGCAACATGCCAGGTTGCGAAGTCAGGCCTTGCAGATCACGGTACGGGTCCAGACCACAAAGTTAAGATGCAGGCTGCTGGGTCAGGTCGTGTGTCAATGTGTTGATTGCAGGTCAAGGAGATGTGTTGTCATAGGTGTGTTGTCATCGATGTGTTTATGTCCTGGTGCGAATGTCCAGCTAGTGACAATGACGATGATCTTTGACCCTTGAATCGCATATCAATATCACTGTTGTGCATTGATATCGTTCTGGTTTCTTTTGTCACGCGTGTGCACCCAGTGCCAAGCTAGGTCGAACTATGATTTGTGTGAACAGACTTTCTTTTGAAGGTGTTTCTATATGACATTTAATAGTTTCAAAGCTATGAAAGTTTCCTTATATTGCTGGGTGGGCCAATGCAACAACAGCCTTCCTCGCTTTGATCTGGCATGCCATATCGCATGGGTACCGAAAGTGTAGGGCTGCGCATCTAGGAAACCAGAGGTAGGGGGTTGGATTCTTCGCGGTGCCCACTCTTCCTGCCAGGATGGGAGGCAGGCGACGCCACATAGCCTCAGCATCTGAGTGCGATGTAAAAGCCAAGTGACGAAAACGACATCACAGGTCACACCTGGCGACGTCCACTATTTTTATTCCTCTGGTAAAGCTTTCCGAACCCATATGACGCCATCCTCTGCATTGTCTTAGCATTTTTAGTTCTTTACATAAGAGGAGGCAGCTAGGCGTTCTTATTAGATGCATATGACCTGTTT